GTTCAGAGGAAAGGGCCTTCCAGTCTTCACTAACAGATCATGAAAAACAAGGCTTACAGGACTCCATTCACTGCCTGCCTCTCAGCCTCAGGGCTTCTCTTCCACATTCCAAGTCAGCACACAGACTATGAAATGCACTCATTGGGGACTGGAGAAAAGAATGACCTGCAATCCAAGGCAACAAACAGCACTGCCAGGTCTCTGATTTGATTCTTTCATTATTTCTGCAACCAGACTTTCTTTCCTACAAATAATGAGCTTATTAAACATGGTCCTCTTTACCCTAACACAGGCCCCTGTCATCCAAGGGTGATGGACTGACTGGGCTCTCTAAACTCAACAGGAGGTTCAGGCCTTTGACAAGCTCCATTTGCTTTGGAATCAGCACCAAAAAAGAAGAAATCAAATTAGAATGCAGGTATGAGAAATGTTAATCAGATTCCCCACTGTCAACTTTGCCAGCAAAGGCTTCAGATGAAGCAAAGATTAAACCAGGGATATGTGTCATCAGCCACTGATATAAAAAGTTAGAAACACATCTAAATGTAAATCAGGAATTAGACAAATTATGAGACATTCACAAGATGGAACACTGTTAAACTATTAAAATGATTTGACAGCCAAGTGTTTGTAGGGCACCGTTAAGCAGGAAAACCAGGCTGCAAAAATAAAAGGCTAATGCAATACTATTCCAAGAAGAAATACGTATTACACAGACAGCAGGCTTGGGGAGAATCCACAAAGCAGGTGATTAACAGTGGTTGTCTCCCAGAAATGGGGAGGAGGCTAAAAGTTCATTTTTTGCCAACATTCTCTCCTGCTTATATTCCCAAGAACACCTTTACTTTTCTTAAATTAACAGAAGATTCTTTAAGTGCCACAAAGTCAAGAATCATCAATTCATTCCTATACATTTCATAACATGAGTGCTCAAGCAATTATACACTGAAGATGCCATCTAATGCCACCAAATCTTTCAGACTCCAGGTTCACGAAGGTATCAGACACATCCTCTGTCATTTCGTGCTTTCAGAGCTGGAACAAGTAAACATACTTCATCTCACAAAAACACAGCATTCGAAAGCTAAGGTGACTCACAGATCTAAAAACACAGCATTCTAAAGCTAAGAGGACTCTCAGATCTAAAAAGCAGAGGAGAAACCTGAGTGCAGTAAGAGCCTTTACTGTACACCACTAGCTAAAAACAAAACTTAACGCAACCTATTGTATGGCCTCACAAATAGAGGAGAAATTTCCAAGAATCAGCCTAGTATTTCCAAAATTGATTCAAACAAATCCTAGGTTCCACTTAATTCTTTGTTGCATCTGACAACTCAAAGTAGTAAACTGTATCTATGACAAGATGGTTCTCTGGAATCTTTAAATTTCAAAACTGAGTATGTGGTAATACCTTCGCTACATCCTATTTATCTGAACAATAAACATACCTCTCAAAGTATAGGCCTCTCCAAATCTCAAAGAACCAGAGAAAATATGAATTTAAAAAGTAAAACATATGTACATTCCGCACAAACATCCACATTCCTCTCTACATACACACACAGACATAGAAAGTCCCTGCCCTGTTCCTCTATGTCCTGATCACTGGGCCCTAAAAACTAACACGGCTCTACCAGCTCTGTGAAAAAGAGCCATTCCTTGGTCAAAAGAGAAATTCCCCTTTGTCCCAAGAGAACAGGAGCAGTGGATCCTCTGGAGACACAGACCATTACTCATAATCTCTAAACTGACCACAGTAATTCTAGACAAAATTCCTTTCTCATCTTGCCAACGTGGTCAACTTGTAGGTGCCATTTTCAAGAGCAGCTCCAAATGCAGTAAAACGACATACATGACCCAAAGTCACAAAGTAAGAGTCCCATCACCATAGGACATTATTCACCTGAACTCATCTTGCTGTGCTGTGCCCCTGTTAGATTTCTTCAGCTCAAATTCCTTCCTCATCCCAATCTCCTCTTCCATTTCTGAGGATACCAACCCAGTCCTACCAGATTCACAGCCTGTTGGCCAGTTCTCCTCTTCCCTTCAGCCTTGGTGGCCAATACAGCGCCAGATTCTGCCATATTTCCCCCAAAGTTTTCTTTTTTCTCTCTTCACACTCAACACCAAGAATCACTAGAATCTCTCAGAAGGAGTTTGTTAAAGAATAATAGATTTGAACTACTGGAGAGCCTACCTACCCATCGCCTTTATGCAGGACCAAGTGATGAACACAGGGTAGGAAATTTCTAATAGGAACATGATTACTCTCCTTCATTATGTCGTTAAAATCTTCAGGGCCTATCACTACAGCTGATAATGTCAAATACAAACCACAGTTCTTGGTTTTTCCTTTGCTAGCAACCCAGTCACAAAGGCAATACTGAAACAGAGCAACCAGGGATGGAATAAGAACCAATCAATCATGTTGGCTACAGGAGAAAAGTAAGATTAAAAATGTTCTAGGGGCTGGCGCTGTGGTGTAGTAGGTAAAAACGCCGCCTGCAGTACTGTCATCCCATATGGGCACCAGTTCAAGACCCAGCTGCTGCTCTACTTCCGATCTAGCTCTCTGCTATGCCCTGGTGAAAGCAGAAGATGGCCCAAGTCCTTGGGCCCATGCACCCGCATGGGAAGACAAAAGAAGTTCCTGGTTCCTGGCTTTGGATCGGCACAGCTCCAGCCGTTGTGACTAACTGGGGAGTGAATCAGTGGATGGAAGACCTCTCTCTCTACCTCTCCTCTTTCTCTGTGTAATTCTGACTTTCTAATAAATAAATAAATCTTACAGGAGAAAGAATATTAAAAAAAAAAAAAAGTTCTACATGGGAGAGAGGTGGCAGCAGAGATGGTAGTAGTAACAAGAGCCAGGTCATAAGCACTGAATGAAGAAAATCTTACAAAACGTTTGGCTGTAAATTGATATTGGATGTACTGATGCTGACTTTGATTTTATGCAAAGAGCAGGAGACGTACATTAGATACACTCAACAAGCATGTGTGCAACAACCTCAGGCCAGAAATAACTGCTAAGAGAAATGACAACCCAATAGCTTCAAGAACACCTAGTGCCCAGAACATGGATTCTAAACAACTTCTGAAGGATCACTAAACAGCCACAGATTCGAGAAAAAAGACCCAATGAAACCTTGTTTTCAACCTATAAGACTAACAGGGACACATCAAAAAGATGAACAGGCCAGCCAGAAGGGGCTCCACGTATGAGATCTGGAATCTGGAATGTTAAAATGATACTAGCACTCAAGCGGGTCATTAGCCTAAGTTCTGGCTCCTGATTCTACTTTCTGCTAATGCAGACCCTGAGATGCAGAAGTAAATGGGCTCTGCCACCCAGAAGGGAAATGTGGACTGCATTCCTGGTTCCTGGCTCTGTCCCCAGCCCACTCTTGCCTGTGGTGAGCATTTTGGTGAATGCATCAGCAGAAAGGAGCTCTCATTCTCTTTCTCATAAACAAATAAATAAGTAAATAAATAAAATTATATTAACATGTTTCAACCCTTTGAATGAAACAGGGTATCAGTCTGTAAAAACACCATGATATTAATGAATCTAGCTTCATGATAAATGAAATATGTACATAATTTCAAGTAACTCACTCCCATATACATTCATAAATTATAAAAGTTAATAAATTTAACTTTATATGGAAAATACCTGACATACCACCTTAACTGAACAACCAATGTGAACACCATCTGTATAAGAACAGAATGAAATTTTGTGCCTCCCAAGAGGATTCACAGATATAACATCATTTCTATGAGCCTATAATCTTAAAACGTCACAAGTATCAAAGTCAGAGACAGCAATTAAAGGCATCCCCAGATTCTGATCTTCACACTTTTGCTTGCAAAATGGGCACAACAAGACACTGTAGGCAATGTCAACTGGGGTGGGGTGGGGGTGGGGGGTGGGGGGTAGGGTCTCAGGACTACACAATGGAACTGCACCCCTGTCAACTCTCAAATTTCAATGGCTACAGGAAAAAATCCATATCTGAACGAAATCTGTAGTAGAGTTCAGAGGAGTGATGGAACATCAGGTAGAAAGTTATTGTTTAAAATGGTCCATGAAAACTCTCCTTGATATGGACTTACATCCTTCTATCTCTGTAACAATTTTTGTGCTCTTTCAACTCAGAGGTGAAAGAGGGCTCATTGGGCAAAATAAGGCCCATTAAGTTATCTGGAGTGGCCTTGCCAAGGCAACTGCAGTCAGGACTCAGAATTCAGAAAGTCTATATAGCAGGTTAATTTTAAGTCGATAATCTTGTATGCCCTGCAATTGATGTTTCAGATATCCAAACAGACCCTGGCAGAAAAAAAGGTTCCCCACACCCATCATAAGTGATAGGAATCTTAGCTTCCATAATAAACAATTTCCTAAGTCCTGATAAATCCAATCTCATGCTTTCCTATAAAATTTTATTTTCACCTTGTTCTGTGTTCACATATACATGGTTTTACTGAAATAATACTTAACAACTACTGTTTTTCTTTGAGTAGTACCGTGCCAGGAGAGCACTGTACCATGTCACGTTGGCTCACTGGCAAGAGGTCTCAGGAAACCTGGGAAGAGCCATTCAAAGCTCCTCCACCACAAAGTGACAAGATATCCAAAAACAGCAATGTGTGTGCAAATGTGGTGACAGCTGACTGTGGTAGTGACTGAAGGTTCTAAAGGGGTGGCTTGGAGCAATCAAATTATAGCAATTAGAACTACAAACTGTGCTACTGTGTGTTGAGAAGCCAAGAAGAGGAATACAGCCATCAAGAGAAAATGGGGGGAAAAAAAAAAAGACTCACGACTCAAGCAACACCTGTTTCAGCAACAACACCTAGACAGCCCCTGGTCAAGCAGAAGGGCCCTAAGTTCAGGCTGCAGAACTGAAAGGTGAATGCTGGAGAAAGGCACAATGCGGTTTTACTCCTTTTTCTCTCAACGAGGCTTGAGAAGTGTGCTGGTAATGCATTCTTACCTCGAAGGCAGAGAAAAGTAAGAAAATCTTCTGTCTTAGGCTTCCTTTTAGAGAGGTCAGAGATTTGAGTAGCAGGAGGGGGTAGCAATGGCTCCACAATCTTCACTGGAGTTGTGCTGGGACTGTTCGGTTGAGATTGAGCAAACTTCCTTTGTGCTTGCAGCCTGGGCCTGTAAAAGAAGAAAAGAAGTAACAATAAATTAAGCAGAGACCAAAAGATGTAGATCTACATACAGCAATGAAATCAAGGTACTCCCTCATCCTCAAAAAAAAAGGCAAGCCTATTTCAAGCAAACTCATTCTTCCTAATAAAAGTTCTTTATCTCGCACACTCTCGTAAACCACAAGCCTGCTTTAAGGTGCAATAAATTTAGTTAAAGGGCTGTATTTTATATATGGATATAAAATAAGGATCATGAACAAGTATATGTACCAGTGAATACATACATACTAACCACACACATTCCTGCATGTTTTAAAAAAAATTGCACATGCCAACAGCATATAATTAATGCCTCTCATAATTTTGTTTCATCCCAAAGTATAGGATGCTGCCATACTGTATCCAGTCATGAGATGCTGCCTTGAATACAATCCTCTCTGGCTATGTCCTTTCATCCAGTGTCCATCTCTACCTCCCAGTCTCCTGACCCAGCAGGAATAGTGGCTCCACTCTAATCTCTCCTGAATTCAGCCACTGAAGCTCACTTACCTAACTAAAGCCTGTGAAGCAAGAAAAGAGTTAGAAAGACACAGCCGAGGGAGGAAGCAAAGAAGAGATACATGAAATGAGAAGGCCTCAACCTGTTGCTGCTGACTTTAAGCACAGAAGAAGGATACCATAACACAAAGAATGTGGTGCCTCTGAAGTTGGGAGCAACCTTTGGTGCCAGGCACCAAGGAAACAGGACCTCACTCCTACAGCTATATGGAATGGGGCTGGCCAACAACCTAACCAAATAAGTCCAGCAAGCTAACACATTTAATGTCAGCCTTGGGAAGCCTGGAGCAGCAAATGCAGACATCTGACCTAGTGAATGATTTCCCTGGAACCTCTGCATGACTACATGGCAGAACTTGAATCTGTTTTTGTTACAGAATGCTTTCCAGTTCAGAGAGGAAGAATTACGACACAGATCTACCAGAGCTGGTGGCAATGGGAGGAGAGTTACCAAAAGGTGACAAAGAAAAGGAACCTCCGAAAGGCAAAAGCTTACAACAACAGGATGCTGCACAGCAAACATTTGTATCACATTATAATCATCTGTATTAAAAAGGTTTTACATACTAAATGACAAAAAAAGTCTGCAATGCAAAAAAAAATATTTCTCTCCAGTCTACCCAATCTTCTTCCTACACACACGAAACTGTGGATTACCCTTCAAAATAGAGTCAAGTTGACAATCCGTATCCATTTTAGGACAGTCCTTCCTTATGCAGACCCACACTGGTAGTAACCCTCTAACTTATTCATTTGGTGGAAACTGGACCAGTATAAATGGACCCTTTCACCTGCAAACTCTTATGTGAAAAGATGCTTCTTGCCATCAGTGTAAACTGTAATGTATTTTGGAAATATTTCTCTACTTTTTTTTTTTTTTTTAATTTATTTGACAGATAGAGTTAGTGAGAGCGAGACAGAGAGAGAAATGTCTTCCTTCCGTTGGTTCACCCCCCAAATGGCCACTACAGCTGGCGCTGCGCCGATGCAAAGCCAGGAGCCAGGTGCTTCCTCCTGATCTCCCATGCAGGTGCAGGGGCCCAAGCACCTGGGCCATCCTCCACTGCCTTCCAGGGCCACAGCAGAGAGCTAGACTGGAAGAGAAGCAACCGGAACTAGAACCTGGCGCCATATGGGATGCTGGTGCCGCAGGCGGAGTATTAACCAAGTGAACCACGGTGCCAGCCCCTCTGTTTTCCTGACAGTTGCCAATGATGAATTTTCCATTCTCTATACAAGTCAGAATACTAAATATTGTTTTCATTAATTGATTGATTTTAATCTATTGGAAAGATATAGCAAGAGAGTGAGAGACAGAGACAAAGAGATAGGGATACGTTCCATCTGCTGGTTCACTCCCAAAATTCCTGCGAAGCAGAGCTAGGCCACACTAAAGCCAGAAACCCAAGACTCTATCTATCACAGTCTCACATTGGTGACGGGCCCAAGCACTTGAGCTACGATTTACTGCCCCCAGGATGCATTAGCAGGAAGCTCAATCAGTTCCTGGGACTTGAGTCAGTATTCTGTTAAGGGATGCAGGCATCCATCTGATGGCTTAGACCTGGAGCTCAAGGCCCACCCCAGTATGCTGAACTAACATTCATAAGTTTATCTAATAATAGCTTTTTCTTTCATTATAAAGACCTCAACTTCTAACACAGCAGTAAGCATCTGTGAGGCTATGAACGTATTGCTATAAAATGTCCATAAGCCCTGTTCATGATCCTCAAGAAATAATTACTTGAGGGCAGGAATACAGCAAAAACAACCAAAAAGCAACTTCATGGTTCAGGGTTTCTAATACATATTGTTAGAATCCCAAATACTGGCATATCACTCCAAACTGCCAAAAAAGAAATCAGGTACATCTGTGAACCATAAATTAAGTCTTCTCTTCTTGTGAGTGAATTATATACAATCATAAGTGTAATATCCTAAACGCTGATGGTTTGTATACCATGACATTTTAAAAAACACTCTAGTGTTTAACAAAATACTACAGCCACATAAATACAAAACAGGTTTCTATACTTTGTGTAAAAATTAACATCTTTAAATGCAAGCATTCTAAGGCCCAAAGTGGATGCCTGAAACTGAACAGTAACAATCCTTTGTAGACTACGTTCTTCCTATAAAGTTTCACTTACAAACTAAAATTGTAGCATACCATTATAGAAGGTATACAGATGTGATCTGTTTACATTGACCCTTTGTGTTGATGGCAGAGAGCAATTCTAATGAAGACAAAACTGTGGATAAGGATGGACTACTGCATTGTCTATGTCCCATCAAAAACAGTACTATCTAGATTCACATTCCTGATACGAATTGACATTCACTACTGGGCAATCTATAGACTTCCAAAAAAATCTACAAACAGGCCTGCAAATAGTGCAGTAGGTAAAGCTACTTTTGGTAGTATGAGCATCCCATCTGGGAGTGCCAGTTGCAGCCCCAGTTGGCTATTCCACTTCAGCTTTCTGCTAATGTGCCTAGGAACGTAGTGAAAGATGCCCCAAGTGCTTAGGAACCAACCACCTGTGCAGAAGAATAGGGAAGAGTTTCTGGTTCCTGACTCTGGGCTCAGGCATGACTATTACAGCAAATTTAGGGAGTAAACCAGGGACTCAAAGATCTCTCTCTTTGCCTTTCAAAGAAATAAATGTATTTTTTAAACATCTACAAATTTCACAGCATATCAAAAGCAATTAAGAGAGGCCGAGCTGTGGCACAGTACGTTAATCCTCTGCCTGTGGTGCCAGCATCTCATATGGGTGCCAGTTCTAGTACCAGCTGCTCTCTATCAATCAAGCTCTCTGCTATGGCCTTGAAAAGCAGTAGAAGATGGCTCAAGACCTTGGGCCCCTGCACCCGTGTGGGAGACCAGAAGAAGCTCCTGGCTCCCGGCTTCAGATTGGCATAGCTCGGCCGTTGCGGCCATTTGGGGAATGAACTAATGGAAGAAGACCTTTCTCTCTGTCTCTCCCTCTCACTGTCTCTATCTCTCAAATAAATAAAATCTTGGGGGGAAAAAAAAAAGACTTAAGAAAGTAGGCATTTAGCCTAGCTTTCAAAATAGATATTTGTCAAGATGCACAATGGAACACTGAGGTTTACCACTGCCTGTGGATCTTGACTTCAGTAGCAGTGACGATGGCTCAAGTAACTGGGTCCCTATCACCCATATGGGAGACCTGGCTTTAACTCTGGCCCCAGTCACAGTGGTCATCTGTGGAGTGAATCAGTAGATGGGAGTTCGCTTACAGTCTCCCAAATAAACCTAAAAAAGAAAAAAGAGAAAGAAAAAAGAAAGCAAACCAACTTGAGAACCAAAAAATAACCAACATGACATAGGCCTTTTAACAAGATATAGATAGAAAGCTAATTAATAGGGGCCAGCACGGTGGTGCAGCAGGTTAAGCTATCATGTTCAACAACAGGATTCCATAAGTATGCAGGTTTCAGTCTCAGCTGCACCACTTCCAATGCAGCTCCCTGCTGATGTGCAAGTGCTTGGGCCCCTGCAGCCTCATGGGAGACCTGGATGGAGTTCCAGGCCCAGCTCTGCCACTGCAGAAATTTGGGGAATCAACCACCAGAAGGACGATCTGTTTGTCTGTTCTCTCTCATCTCTGCCTCTGCCTTAAAGGGGGGAAAAAAGCTAACCAACAGAAATCCCCAAATATTATAAAGAACACAGCAGTTAAGACAATGCCAATGTCTCTATGTTACAGGGACAAAGAGCATTTCTGAAATCTGCTGACTACCTGTGTGTGAGGTGAGTATAAAAAGGAGAAGCTTCAAAGCCCAGAGCAGGGCCGTTCACAAGGGACATGGGATAATGAGAATGTGGAAGACATTCAGATAAATAAAACAGTGCTTCTCAAATCAAGAGGAGGAAATTTATGTTTGGTTATTCTACTCCTGCCTTACAAATGTTCTGTTACAAATGACTGGGGCCAGCGCTGTAGCAGAGCAAGCTGCTCCACTTCCAATCCAGATCCCTGCTAATGTGGCTGGGAAAGCAGCAGCAGATGACCAAAGTATCTGGGCCCCTGAACCTATGTGGGAGACTTAGAAGAAGTTCCTGGTTTCAGCCTGGCTGCTGAACCAGTGGATGGATAATAGCTCTCAGCTTCTACCTCCCTGTAACTATGACTTTCAAATAAAATAAATCTTAAAAAACTAGTCTCGCCGGCGCTGCGGCTCACTAGGCTAATCCTCCGCCTGCACCACCGGCACATAGGGTTCTAGTCCCAGTTGGGGCACCAGATTCTGTCCTGGTTGCTCCTCTTCCAGTCCAGCTCTCTGCTGTGGCCCGGGAAGACAGTGGAGGATGGCCCAGGTCCATGGGCCCTGCACCCGCATGGGAGACCAGGAGGAAGTGCCTGGTTCCTGGCTTCGGATTGGTGCAGCGCCACGGCCGCAACACACTGGCTGTAGTGG